GAAGCTTTATTTGGACTATATATAATATATATATTATATTATATGTAGGGTAACGTCGGGTCAGACGTCGCTCCACGGTAATTCTAACAAAAAACACAAAATGTCACTTCTTTTTTTCTCAACATTTCTTCTGGCTGCCGCTCGTCTCACTGGACTAAAAATATCCTCTGTTTCATTACAATTTTTAAGTTATTTGATCAAAGCCATTCTGACCTAAGTTGATCTAATTTTTTTGTCATTTAAAATAAGCTGTACTTTTTTCTCTGGTGTTCAATTTATATATATATATATATGTATATTTACATTAAGGGGAGCCTTAAGAGAATTTTTTTTATAGTTTTTGGTTGAAGTAGTAAAATGCTAGATTATTATGTTTGGGGAAAGATGCCCCCCCGGTCGCTGTGCCCCTTTATGGTTGATCGTTTGTAAGTTAGATGTTATTTAGACACTGAATAAACCCTTCAGCCAACCAGCAGCTACATTATCAGAAAGTCTGGGGTAAATTCTGAGGTTATAAGCTCACATTTCTAGCTAGCTGGCATGCACATATTTTACCTCAGACTTTCTGTTAATGAAGTTCCAGCATCCTCACTATTTAAAAGTCTGACAAATAAATGATAGGAATGCTAAGAACATATATAATAAGGCAAGAAAAGTTTATTTCTACAACATAGGTCTATAATCCTCTTGCTTTTAACCAGCTACTTGTAGTTTATTTTATCTGTAATTGGGAGTAAATTAAAGTGATTTCACACCATGTGGAAAAAATATTTTTACCTAAAAGCTACATTTGATTAAATAGAAATTAATTTGTCAACTGTAGGTATTTATTTTATTTTAGCATGGCCTTCTTAAAGATACAAAAACAATCAATAAAAAGTTCTTTAATTTGTCATAAAACAGACATTAAGCTTTGGGGGGGGCGTCCTACACCACTCTACCTTATTATATATAATGTTAATGAAGGTAGACAGAGCAGCTGGTCATCATTGTTAATTTTAGTTATGAAAATGTCAGTTTTGGTGACGTAAATGTTGTTTTTATGCTTATATTTTTATTTACAGTTAATATTCCCTGAAAAAGACAGGTCAGAAATAAGCCCAGAGCTCTGTGCCAGGTATCTGTAGTAAGGTTATTCTTTTTTATTTCACTTCAGTGTGCACTCCTTAGAAACCTGTATTTGCAGTCCGTCTTCCCCGTCAGACGTTGCTATTGTTGGGTTTTGTGGTGGTAAAATACTGCGTGTTCTTCTTCGTACATTAACAATCAGTTGCATTGCAGATGTTCTGCTGTGTGTGCATGTAAAATCGCTCGTTTTCCCGCCCGGAGAGGAAAACTGATATTGCTCCAAACATCTCCACCCATTCTCCATTCAGCCGCTCTGTTTTCATACGCTGATAAACCCGCTTTCATTAAAACGTGTTCCAGCTCCTCCCATCGTCTCAGCATCAGAATACAAAACAAACTGGTGTTCCTGCTCCTAAACTGAATGTTCTGAGCCCTTCTCTCCTTCTCTTGGTGGTTTATATCTGTTCATTCAGTGTCTAACAAACAAACATCTGATGTTCTCACCTTTGTCTCTCCGTCATTAAATCATTTCACTTCCTGTCGTCTACAGTAACAGCCTAACGTTGTAGAGCTTCCTGTCTCCATCTTCATCTTTATTTTCACTTCATGCAAAATCAAATCAACACCAGCTCAGCGTTTCCTTCTTTTTTATCAGATCAATTCAGCTTTTTGCTCGTGTGCTTCTTGGAAATGATAAAAACACTTCAGTGCTCCAGGCAGCAAAACGTCAACCAAAAACTAAACTAAACTAGAAGTGCGCTCCCTGAAGCTTCAGCCTCAGTGTCTTGGTGTTGACCGGGTTTGGTTTCGGGGGTGGGGTGGGGGGTTTGGCGCTCCTCTGTCTGTGGTTGCAGTAGTCTCCCGGTTAAAGATCGTCTCGTAGACAGCGCCTCTCCGGTCTATCAGGCGGTCCAGAGTGCAGAGAAGGACCCGGACCTGGGCGAATGGGGCCGCCGCAGCGCCAGCATGCAGTCCAAGACCTTCCGGGTCCTGGCCCACATGACCGGAACCGAGACCTGTAAGTTTCCTGTCCTGATGTAGCGCTGTTTCATGTTGTTTGAGTTTAAACAAATGAAAGCTGGTATTAAAATAATAGCAACTAAAGGAGCAGTTGAACATTTTTCTAAAAACACGAAGGGTTCTGTTTGAGTTGTGTTTATCTGCTTCGTGTGAAAGTGTTTCAAACTGAGCGTGCTCACTGACGTCTCCCCTCTGGTGTTTTCTGTCTGTTTCAGTGCCAGGGGGGGAGGAGGAGGAGGAGGAGGAGGTGCTGAGGAGGAGCAGGTAGGCAGCAGAGCTCCGTTAAACATCTGCTGACCCCCCTCCTCACCTGTACACTCTGCCCCGCCCCTCACCTGCTCTCACTGTAACGCCCCAAAGCCCGTCTCTGAGCCTCTGTAAGCTAACGTGACCCTGAGCTAACAGATTCTCCTCTAACAGCTGCATTCAGTTCAACTTAAAGACGTCCGATCGGCTTGCGTCACATTTGGATGAAAACAGTCCATGTGATCTGCGACATTAAAACGCTGCTCACATTTTACCTCACCGGGAACAACAATCCACTAATGTTATAATTCAGACTTCCCAAGAATTTGTACTACTTTTTTATTTCTATAGTGATAATTTCACTAATAATACACAAGTAGGAGTTTACATGCTTGATTTCTCCTTGTATTTCTACACTGTGGTGTTGCTGCCACAGGGCTTTTTGACAGCATTTGTTAAAAAATGTTTAGAAAAATAGCAACTAGAAATGTTAACTAACAAACGCTTTGAGAAAGGTTACTGACAACATGCAGTTTAAATAACGAAGACACAAATGTGCATTGTCCAAAAAAACTTAAGCTTTAAAAAACAAGCGTTTCCCTTCATATAATATATATATATAATATAAAACCATAAAATGGAGCAGAAAATGTCTCAAGAATGCAGGAAATTAATGCTCTAAGTCTTCTGGAGAGACTTGTGTGTATCTGAGTACGTCTTCCTCCTCCTCTTAAGTATAAGGCGGCCACGACCTCTCTTCTGATTGGGTGGCACGGCACTTTAACCATGGTAACAGACGGTAGCCTCAGAGGAAGCAGCAGACATTCAGGTGTGGAGTTCAAATCTTACGATCCAGCTCAGCCACATCCCGACATGTCATTCATTCATAATACGTCCCACCACAAGGGGGAGCAGCAGGACTACTAATAAACAGGTGTGCTTCTTATATAATAATAAAAACATTAAGCTCAAATAAGAAACCTGCATAAAGTAATAACTGATGTTTCCACACACATCTGGATGTCAAATTAGTTTCTTAATATTGACTTTATTTGTAAAAAACAAACAAACAAACAAAAAAACATGTTACAACAGGACCAAAGTTTGCAGATTATTAAAAAATTATGATGCATTTATATAGATAAAATAAAACATTTTGATGCTAATACCTTTTTCACTTTTACTTAAGTAAGATTCTGAATGCAGGACTTTTACTTTAACAATAATTTCTACACTGTATTTGCTTCTTTATAGTAATAAAAAACACATTTGTGTATATCTGGGTGTCTGTATTTTAACGCAGTGTAATGTTACTGTTATGTTCGGGTCTATGTAACAGGCACATGTCTTGTCTGCTGCCTTTCTTTACCAGGGTCTTTTCCCCTGGTTAAATAAAGGTTAAATAATAAAAAACAAATACATGTAAAGAAGGATCAAGTTAACAACTTCACATTATTCTGCAGCAGTGGGAGAAAATGAAACACATTCTTACAGTAAAAACCTTGGAACAGCCTGTTAATTTACCCTCAGGAGCTTTATTTGCATCATATTATATATATCACATTCAATTGTTAATTTTAGTTCTGAATATTTAACTTTGGCACCATTTAAGGATTTTCACTGGACTTGAACTACTTATATTTACAGAAGAACTAAAAACATGGAGCCGTTCTAACACTTCTGACTGTAACACAAGACATTTTAATAAATCCCCCCATAAATACCAGAAAACATTTGCTTCAAACAGAAACAAAGACCTGATTCTCACTTCTGTAAATGTTTATGGGAGAGTTCATTGTCTTCTCCTTCGTGTCGTTCTTCGTGCTCATCACCTTTTCTCTCGAGGTCGAGGAGAAGCGATTAGAAAAGGAAAAAGCTAAATGTTTTTAGTCTCGAGTGATGGAAGGTTCTGATGTCCTGCCTGTTTGGTAGCGTTGGTATTGATTAAAGCTGGTATTGATTGGTTAAAGAGCTCTTTGGCCTGATTGTGACAGCGACCGGGGGAACAATAACGAGGACAGAACCCCCCACACACACACATTTCCATTAATAAAACATTTTAATTCCTGGAACACAAACATGACAAGAAACCTTCATCAGAGACATCACAGAATCCTGACGGAGCGTTTCTTATTCAGTAAATGTTCTGTAAACTACAATCAAATCCACACTGCAACTTTACTTAAGTACAAAACTGAGATACTTTACTCGGTTGTTTTCTTTTAATGCTACTGTCTACTTCTACTGCACTACCTCTCAGTACTTCTACTGCACTACCTCTCAGTACTTCTACTGCACTACCTCTCAGTACTTCTACTGCACTACCTCTCAGTACTTCTCTCAGTACTTCTACTGCACTACCTCTCAGTACTTCTACTGCACTACCTCTCAGTACTTCTACTGCACTACCTCTCAGTACTTCTACTGCACTACCTCTCAGTACTTCTACTGCACTGCATTTATAGACAGCTTCAGTTACTTCAAGATTTTTACACACAAAACACATGAAGAGCTTATAAAATAGGATGTTTTGTTATAGATGAAACTCCAGCAGATCATATAAGTAAATCTCATTGACGAAAAATAAACTGTTGATGGTGTAAAAACATTTACTGATTATTCTCACATACTTTTCACTGTAGGACTTGTACCAGAGAGAGTATTTTTACAGTGTGGTATTAGTACTTTTACTGTACCAGAGTAAACTAAACAGTATATTCTGGTGTGCTGCAGGATTAATAGTGCAGAGCTGTGAGTTTTCTAACAAATGAAGTCGATCCTGACGGTCGGAGTGCAGAAAGTACTACGTAGCGGCTGAGTAAAGATGATTTAGGGAAGGATTCAGTGGACCTAGGATTCAGTTTTTAGGATATTTTAACAAACTCCTCAGATCTTTATTATTAGTTTGTTTGTTTGTTTTTAGCTGCTCTCGTTGTGGAAGCGTTTCTGAAACCCTGAAACACAAGCCGCGCTATCTGAGCCTCAGACGCTGAGCATCACAGTGTGGAGGTCTGCTTAGTCTCCGAGAGGACGGACAACCCTTTTAACCCTCCGCCCCTCCTCCACCCCGCTGATGGATGGAGCTTTCTCTGCCCTGCGCACTTATTTAATCATCCCTCCATTACGCCCGCCTGTTTGGACTGAAATACAACCAGATAAAGCAAACCCTGTCGGTCTGGATGCTCTTTGCAATGACTCAACACGAATCAATAGGAGCAGAGGTCGAGCTTTTATCCGCCAATAAAGAGGCTGTGGTTTTGTTTCTTTTTGTCTCTAAGTCATGTTGAAGGAAGCTGCTCAGATGTGACTCACAGGGTTCAGCTGAAACATAAAGATAAAACACAAAATGATCCACCCCTCAATCTGCGTCCAAACCATACGTGCCATTACACTGGGGACGCTGGGGACGCTGAGGACGCTGCTGATGTTAAACTTAAGTTAAAAAAACCAAGCAGCTGATTACTGCATTATATTTTTATATTTAGGATTTTTCACCTGCCAGCTGAATCTCTTGTTTCTCTTTATATAAATTAAGACATTTCCACCATGAATTGGAGCAGAAAATGTCTCCAGAAAGCAGGAAATTCAGAGTTTATGCTCCTAATTTCTGATCCCTCTTCCCGCTCACATTTTTCAGCAATTACTATTTCTACAAAATAGTAATAAAAATCTTCTTGTCTTGTTCTCGTGCATTGTGACATCTCATGACCGTATCATCACACTCTTAATCGGAGCGCTTACGTCCCTATTTGGAGCATTAAACGTTTCATTTTCTGCAGTCTGGAGACGTTCCTGCTCCAATTTATGGTGAAAAATAAAGAGAAACAAGAGATTCAGCTGGCAGGTGAAAATTCATAAATATAAAAATATAAAAGAATATAATGTGGTAATCAGCTGCTTAGTTGCTTTTCTGCACATTTGTTTGTTCCATATTTAAAACGAGTCCCCACCACATTTCATCACTAAGTCATGCCCGTGGTCCAAACGCACATCTTAGGGTTTCCTCCACTTCACTTCAATCAGTCAAACTTTATTTGTACAGGTTAGTGCAACTCGCAGAGCATTACAGATAGTAAATATGAAGAGCAGGAGGATTGGAGAGCAACGCACTCGAGAAATTAAAATGAACAAAACATAACAACGAAATACATTTAAAATTGTTTTTTTTAATTTACTCATCTACATACAGTTTTTTTCTTTACATTCCTTGGCATGAAAATAGTGAAATTTAATGCCTCCCTTTTAAATGTTAAACAACAAAATCTGTAAATGGAAAAACAAAAGAGCGGCTGCAGGTTGAGCCGGTGATCATGTTTCTGCAGCAGGTGGCTAAAGCTTGGTTTAAACTGTGTGCAAACTGGATGTTTTTGTCCGTTTTTGATTCCTAATTTTACATTCTTAGGTATGAAGGAGCTCTGTGGTTCATCACCAGTTGTAGTCATTTTATAAACGCTGCAGAAATCTCCATCTTATCGACTCATTGTGAGTCTCATTTTCTCAAAACATCTAAATCTGCTAAAGTATTCCAACCCGCTTCAGAAAGGTGTCAGGAATAAAGTTAGGGTTAGAGATCCTGGACAGAAAGAGTCAGCAGTTACTAACGTTTAACTGAAACCACAATCTTTCACTAACCTTAACTAGAAGTGTTTCTGTTGTGTGGACCACGTGCAGGACTCGGGATGTGAACCCCGCCCTCTGGTGCTCAGGAACGCCTTCCTCTGATACACATATTCATCTCAGTGTAACTGGGCTTTGATGCTTTAAGAATTCCTGCTAAGAAAACAAGAATATTTGACAAACTGAGGTTCAGAGATTTAAAACAGGAGCAAGATGAATTACATGCAGGGCTCAGTAAAAGATGACATGTGCAGGATCTGGGTTGTTTTAAGGTTGGAAGAAAAATAAAACTTCACATTTGATCAACATCCTCTCATCAACTTGAGCAATATCGAGCCGTTTGATTTGCGCATGAGACCAATAACAAGCTTGATGATCTTTTCTTAACTAATCTGATCTGTGTACAAACAAGATTTATACTGGATATATGTGTGTGCGTGCAGCCTGGGAAGGACTGCATGTGTGAATATATAACTGTATAAACTGGATGATATGTTACGATATATATACTAAATTAATAATATAAAATATTATGCTTCCAGCCCAGAATGCCTCTGTCTCTATCTCACTGTTGCTCCTAACCACTTCCTGTGCTATAGCCCTACTGAGCATGCTCCAGCCTGTGCCGGCTCCGCCCCCGCTGCCCCGCCTGCTAGCGCCGCTTCGCGGCCTCTGGACCCCGCAGTTGCTTCATCTAGCCCCGCCCCTTACAGGTAACCAATCAGCTGTGGACTTTTTGTTCTGTTCCAACCCGTTCTCATCCCAGGGCGGCACATTTGGACGCTTTGTGCAACTTTTTAAGTCGTGGTCAAGTTAACAGACTTTCAAAATAAGACTAGCAGTTAAACTACTTGTTTAGGTTTGGGTTAAAATAACAACTTGCGTGAGTAAAATTACGTAAGTTAAGTAACGTAACTAGCAGATTTTGTTTTAACACAGGAAACAAACACCGTCTGCTGGTTGAAAGTCCGGTTTTTGTTCCACACTATCCACCTCCTTACTCAGACTTTACTGTTATTTATAAAAGACCTACTTTTAGAGTTTAACCATGACGTGAAAGGCTGTCACGTGCAAGGACGTGACAAGGTGAAGGTATCTGACGCTCTGGGAATGAGAACGTGCTGGCTGTTCATTTGAGCTGGAGCCTCATTTAAAGTAATTTTAAAAACACACATACATGTTTCTGAGGATTTGAAGTGACTGGGTGTGTTTGCTAGCTCAGCAGCAGGTATTGGCCCTCGTGGCTCTCCGTAGATTTGACTGACTGTTGTGTGTGTTTGGATCAGAGGTTTCTGCTGCAGGAGGAGTTTGTGGTCAGACGTGTTGAGTTCACGTGCTGCTGGCAGAGTCCGTCATCTGAGACTCACAGGATGTTTGTTGACTCTTTGTAGGCGCTGATGGTGCACTGAGTGAGATTATTGTTATATTTTAGGGCTTTGTGGCCGTTGTATCTGATGTACGATGAGCCGCCTCCACTTTTAGTAAACACAGTGCAACATGGTCGTGTTGTGTTTTCGTCACCTGATGAATCCAGTGTTTTCTCTCTGTAACAAAAACATGAGAAGCATCACCAGCAGCAGATGTAAAGGCCAATTTATACTTCTGCATTGAGCCTACGCTGTAGCCCTGGAAATTTAACTATACATCGCACCAACTCAGACCACAACAACTGTGATTGATTGATTGGCTTGGAAGCGTCGCATTTCATCCTACGCATCTCTGGCTCGTCCTTCTTCTGGCTCCACCGGTTCAAAGGTCGTACATGCCGTCTCCTCCGACGCCTTCTCTCGCGTCTGCGTTTTAGTAATTTCACTAAAAGTAACTGCTGTTCAACATCGATCAGCTCCAACATGATCCGCTCGCTGTTTGAAGCAGCCTACATCAATGAAGAAGAAGAAACTCAACACAGAGGAACATAGAAACCCCCACGCCAACTAGTGTTTTGGCGGATAACCGCAGGGCGACGCAGACACCAACTCACAAGTATAAATGTTCACGTCAGCACGTAGCCTACGGCGTCTGCTACGACTTGACGCAGAAGTATAAACTGGCCTTAACTCAGGATGCGGATCGTCATGGTGACCTCGGCTGTTGTTGTCTCTACACCTGCAGCTTGAAGCGACAGTCTGGTTACAGCCTCCAGCACAAAGCTGCAGTCTCCAGGTACCGACACCCGCAGGGTGTCATCACGCTGCCGCCATTTAGTCCGCTTCACGCTGCCTCCTTTTTCTACGCTACATAACACGCCATCTGCCATTAAACAGAGGCTTCTTCTTGTAAAACTCCTCGCAGCACCATGGTTGGATTTAAGGCCTCAGTATGCTTCAAATGAACCTGTGTGTTTGAGGTGTCATACATCCTTTTTTTAATTTATGTAAGTTAAGTTCATAAAGGTTCCTCATCGCACCTTTCATATAGAGCAGGTCTAGAGCGTACTCTTGGTGTTATTTTTTACAGAGACCCAAAAGGTAACGCCATGAGCAATCACTTGGTGACACAGGGAAGGGAAACCTCCCTTTTAGAAGGTAGAAACCTTAAACAGAACCATGGAAACTTTGTTATGTTCATCTTGATTTTGCTGACCTCCAGTGTTTAAGCTTAACACAAGGCACTGCTGGGAGTTGAACCCAGGAGCTCCTGTTTACGAGACAGGCACTTTGACCACTAAGCTACAGCGCCTCTGTATCTATCTAATTAAGTACGGTACAAATTTGAGATAGTTTTACTTAAGTATTACCATTTTATGTTACAGGATGTAAAGTGGTTAAACACACGCAGCAGTAAAATGCAACATACACATTAATGCAGAAGGAATATTCAGATATAATAAAGAAACACTGACAGGAACGTTTTACTGCACTGTGACTACTTTCATATTGTAAGTGCATTTAGCTGATAATAGTTACATACTTTTACTTAAGTAAGGCTTAAATACAATTATTTACAGAAGAAAGAAGTAAAGGATCTAAATAATTCTTCCGCCACACCACACGTTCAGACCGTCTCTCCTGGAAGACGTTCGTTGTATCGCACTCAGTTGATTGCATGAAAAATAATAGAGGAAGTTGTGTGAAGAATGAGAAGTGACGAAAAATTGTCCGACCTGATTCCGCAGTCAAAAACAAGGTTAGACGATCCAACAAGTACTTTGTTTGAAGCATACTGAGGTCTTTATGTGACAGTGGGTGACCTGATGGAAATTGAACCAGTAACCCTGGCAGTGTTGGTGCAATGCTCACTTCAGTACCATGTAACTGTTGAGTGAAAAGACATAATAACTTCATCCATTCACGGGCTGAATCTCCTCCAACTGGCTATGAAGGAGTCCAGCTGTACACGTCATCTGTCATGATACTGACACTCATTTCTTACTGGCTGGTTATCAGGCTGGTTTGCACTGGTCTGCTTTCTGTATTAAAACCTTCACTAACGTTTAAGTATCCTGGGTATGTACTTATAACAAGGTAAGAGACACACACTCTGTTGACATCTAGGTTACATTTTAATGCCAATATATTTCAGCAATACGACATGAAGTACTAATGCAACTTGGTCTTTGTATTGAGTTAAAAGTTAAATGGAGCACATGGAAACTTTGTGGTCATTTTGTCTCTCTTTGAGGTTGTTTTGTGTCTTTTTGTAGTCATTCTGTGTCTCTCTGTGTTCGCTTTGTGTCTCTTTGTAGTCATTCTGTGTCTCTTTGTGGTCGTTCTGTGTCTTTTTGTAGTCATTATGTGTCTCTTTGTGGTCGTTTTGTGTCTTTTTGTAGTCATGATGTGTCTCTTTGTGGTCGTTTTGTGTCTTTTTGTAGTCATTATGTGTCTCTTTGTGGTCGTTTTGTGTCTTTTTGTAGTCATTCTGTGTCTCATTGTGGTTGTTTTGTGTCTTTGTGCTCATTTTGTGTCTTCATGGTCGTTCTATGTCTCTTTGTGGTTGTTTTGTGTTTCTTTGTAGTCGCTCTGTGTCTTTATGGTCATTCTGTGTCTCTTTGTAGTCATTCTGTGACTCTTTATGGTCATTTTGTCTCTTTGTAGTCATTCTGTGTCTCTTTGTGGTTGTTTGGTGTCTCTTTGTGGTTGTTTGGTGTCTCTTTGCAGTCATTTGTTGTCTCTTTGTAGTCATTCTGTGTCTGTGGTTGTTTTGTGTCTCTTTTATAGTCATTTTGTGTCTCTTTGTAGTCATTATGTGTCTGTGGTTGTTTTGTGTCTCTTTTATATTCTTTTCGTGTCTCTTTGTGGTTGTTATGTTTCTTTGTGGTCATTTTCTGCCTTTATGATCGTTTTGTGTCTCTTTGTTGTCATTCTGTGTCTCTTTGTGGTTGTTTGGTGTCTCTTTGCAGTCATTCTGTGTCTGTGGTTGTTTTGTGTCTCTTTTATATTCTTTTCGTGACTCTTTGTGGTTGTTTTGTTTTTTTGTGGTCATTTTCTGCCTTTATGGTCGTTTTGTGTCTCTTTGCAGTCATTTGGTGTCTGTTTCTAGTTATTCTGTGTCTCTTTGTAGTCATTCAGTGTTACTTTGTGGTCGTTTTGTGTCTCTTTGCAGTCATTTGTTGTCTCTTTGTAGTCATTATGTGTCTGTGGTTGTTTTGTGTCTCTTTTATAGTCATTTCGTGTCTCTTTGTGGTTGTTATGTTTCTTTGTGGTCATTTTCTGCCTTTATGGTCGTTTTGTCTCTTTGTAGTCATTCTGTGTCTCTTTGTGGTTGTTTGGTGTCTCTTTGCAGTCATTTGTTGTCTCTTTGTAGTCATTCTGTGTCTGTGGTTGTTTGTGTCTCTTTATAGTCATTTCGTGTCTTTGTAGTCATTCTGTGTCTGTGGTTGTTTTGTGTCTCTTTTATATTCTTTTCGTGTCTCTTTGTAGTCATTATGTGTCTGTGGTTGTTTTGTGTCTCTTTTATATTCTGTCCGTGTCTCTTTGTGGTTGTTTTGTTTTTTTGTGGTCATTTTCTGCCTTTATGGTCGTTTTGTCTCTTTGTAGTCATTCTCTCTTTGTGGTCGTTTGATTTATATTCCAAGTCAGATAGAGGCTCCATACTCAGTAATTGCAAAAACCAAGTTCCATAAAATTTTCACATATAAAACAACAGCCAAAGTAGATTTCCAGTCAGGTTGACAGCAGCGCAGAGAAAGGCTGTGAGTGGTACAGGTGTACAGGTGTACAGGTGTACAGGCTTGGAAGAAGTGATGAATCAGTGTTTTTTTTATCCCTCTCCAGCCCGTACGCTCAGCCTCCTGCCATGTATCAGGCACCACAAGCCCCACCTCCACAGCAGTACCAGCCAATACCGCAGCAGTACCAGCCAATACCGCAGCAGTACCAGCCAATACCGCAGCAGTACCAGCCAATCCCACAGCAGTACCAGCAGCCCCCTTCGCAACAGGTCCCGCCCACTCAGCAGAGCTCCATTCAGATCCCTCTTGGCTCCGCCCCTCCCAAGGTGGTCAGCACAGCCTGCATCTACCCCTCCCAGCCAGGTGAGAACACCTGCACACTGATTCACAGAATACAAGCACATTCAGATTGACTGTTGTAAAAGATCCAGATCCATGTTTTCCTCTCCTCCAGCCTCAGCTCCTGCTCCAGTCCCATCTCAGCCCCGCCCTCCAGCCGCTGCCCCGGCCCCAGCCCCGGCTCCAGCTGGTCCTGCCTCCTCTAACAGACCCCCCTGGGTGTCCGACACCAACTTCGCAGATAAGTTTGACCCCAGTAAGACCACCACCACCACCACCGTGAAGATTCAGCCGCTGCCCCAGGCCGCCCCTCCTCCACCGGCATACATCCCCAACCCCTCCTCATCCGCACCTGCAGCTCCCAGCCCTGCCCCCGTTACATCAAGCCCCGCCCCCTTCCCGTCTGTGGCGAGGGGCGTGGCACAAAGGGCGGAGAGATTTGCCGCCAGCAGCCGTACGCCTCTGTGTGGGTCCTGCAACAGCATCATCAGGTAATTCACACCTGCTTTTTTCTGTGTATGATAATTTCGACTTTATTCTTGACATTTCCGCTTATTTCGACTTTTAATAGGGAATAAAGAATAAATAAATAAATGGATTGTGTCATAACAAAATATTTACATGAGATTATCTGCTGAATTTAAGGACTTTCTAAGAGAAGTTCAGGGTCGCTTTTAAGATATTTGGCCAATTAAAAAAAAAAAAAATTATTTAATCCCCCAATTATATCACAATCCATTCATTTATTAATTATTAACTCCAATTGACCCTTTGCTAAGCCACGCCCCCCTTAGTTACTGTTGCTAAGTCTGACAAACTGTCGGACCTGTTGAACTTTTAGCACTGCGCTGCCACTGTCTGTTACTGCACTCCCTGGAGAAATATTGTCTCATTTTTGGAAAAAGCGATCCCAGAAAGAAGCAGACAGTTTTGCAGTTGCATTGTGCATTTGAAGGTTTTATTCAGGCTCAAACTGACGTGAAAAAAATAAAAGACAGAAGCTTTTCGGTTTTGGAAAGAGAATAAATCTGACTTCTCCTTTCAGCCTCTCTGGGTAGCGACTGTAACAATTACAAGACGCCCCAGGAACAGCGTTTGACCATATCTTAGATAAATACAGCCAGAAAAAGATAGAAAACGACTCTTTTTGCATCAGAGTCAATGGAGCGCCGCCATGAAAGTGTCAGACCTCAGTTAAAACGAGACCTGTACTGCTCTGTGATTGGCCAGCCAGTATATTCGGGGCGTGGCTTAGCGAAGGGTCAGTTGGTAGGTGAAACCCTGAATTTGCATAATTCAAATATTAAAGTCCTTTTATTAATCACGATTTTTTGACCTTTAATTATTATAGGCTTAAAAGGTGAAAATCCCTATTACAGTGAAAATGTGTCATATTTTTATGAACTGTATGTAATATAAATGCAAACCTGCTGAATAGAAGTGATCTTTATCACCATGGTGCAGAACAGCATCACAAGCATGAGCATTTATTGAGGAAGACAAGACGACTGCAGGTGGAATCAAATTTGACCTGTTAAAAATCATGTCACCTGAAGCAGACTGAAGATGAACACCTGTTGCTGTTTTCAGGGGCCCCTTCCTGGTGGCCCTCGGTCGGTCCTGGCACCCCGAGGAGTTTAACTGCCACTACTGCCACATGTCTCTGGCTGACGTCAGCTTCGTGGAGGAGCAGAACAACGTCTACTGTGAGAACTGCTACGAGGAGTTCTTCGCTCCGACCTGCGCCCGCTGCAACACCAAGATCATGGGGGTGAGATACCTGTCCACCAGAGTGTCTGTCCACCTGTCTGTCCACCTGTCCACCAGAGTGTCTGTCTACCTGTCTGTCCACCAGAGTGTCTGTCCACCTGTCTGTCCACCTGTCCACCAGAGTGTCTGTCTACCTGTCTGTCCACCAGAGTGTCTGTCCACCAGAGTGTCTGTCCACCTGTCTGTCCACCTGTCCACCAGAGTGTCTGTCTACCTGTGTGTCTACCAGAGTGTCTGTCTACCTGTCTGTCCACCAGAGTGTCTGTCCACCAGAGTGTGTGTCTACCTGTCTGTCCACCAGAGTGTCTGTCTATCTGTCTGTCCACCAGAGTGTGTGTCTACCTGTCTGTCCAACAGAGTGTCTGTCTACCAGAGTGTGTGTCGACCAGAGTGTGTGTCTACCTGTCTGTCCACCAGAGTGTCTGTCTACCTGTCTGTCCACCAGAGTGTCTGTCCACCAGAGTGTGTGTCTACCTGTCTGTCCACCAGAGTGTGTGTCTACCTGTCTGTCCAGCAGAGTGTCTGTCCACCAGAGTGTGTGTCTACCTGTCTGTCCACCAGAGTGTCTGTCTATCTGTCTGTCCACCAGAATGTGTGTCCAGCAGAGTGTCTGTCCACCAGAGTGTGTGTCCAGCAGAGTGTCTGTCCACCAGAGTGTCTGTCCACCAGAGTGTGTGTCTACCTGTCTGTCCACCAGAGTGTCTGTCTATCTGTCTGTCCACCAGAATGTGTGTCCAGCAGAGTGTCTGTCCACCAGAGTGTGTGTCCAGCAGAGTGTCTGTCCACCAGAGTGTGTGTCTACCTGTCTGTCCACCAGAATGTGTGTCCACCAGAATGTGTGTCCACCAGAGTGTCTGTCCACCTGTCTACGTGTCCACCTTTGGAAAGTCACAGTAGCTGAATCTTTATTTATTTCTCATACAGTTTAGGTCAATTTTAAGCATTTTTACTCTTTAAATGCTAAAAACCTCAAAAATGTTTTTGTTTGTCTCCATTTTTGTTGAAAATGAAGGTCCTTTTTTACCAGATGTGTTATTTTGTACATTTTATGGAGTTTTTATTATTTTTATTTACCAAAACTCTCTAAGAAAAGGTAAGACATACCACCAAGGAAGTGGCGCTTGTTATTCACGCAAGGTATCATGGGACTTGGAAGAAGGTGAACAGAATAAGCGGATACTCAGTTCCTTTCTAAATGTAAGGTTATAGATTCCAATAGTAGTGTAACTATTATAATTACTTTAGTAAGTAATGAAACTTATGACATTTAATTACTTTTTAGTACTTTTCTACATTTCTAATGAATGTTTTGAACTGTTAATCAAAGACACCTTGAGAGGCAGTTTAACTGAGGACCAATCAGAAGAGTTAAAACAGCATCAAACTTTAGGAAACGGCAAAGAAAGACACCGAAAGACAAAATGAATATTATTCAACACACAGCCGAGCTTTTTACAGAAAATATTCAGACAAAAATGTTTTAGTCCATGACTTAAATGTAACGTCAACGTTTCGACGATCTTTCAGCAGACAGAGAGACTTTGACTAAAATTAGACAACAATTAAAACAGAGGTCCACTGATCAAACCTTGACTAAAACAAAGCAAAACTAAAAGATCAAAATGTGATTTTCAGTAAGTGACTAAGACTGAAACCTAATTTTAAATCCTTGTCATATTTACCACTGGCAACCCTCTGTGTGTTCCAGTAACTGAAACAGATCACAGCTACATTCATGGTACTAATAACATAATCAAGGATACTTACAGGAAAACACTCAGGGAGGGGTCGGAAGAGAAGCGTAGGCAGGAAGATGTTTGGTCATATACGGTGACGTTGGAAACTAAAGGGACTTCTCCAGAGTGAAAAGCAGAAGTGAGAAAGAGCGTGAGAAAGAGAAACCTCCCTTCACCAGAGCTTCACCATCACAGCTCAGTGCTCTACGCCACCAGCTGTGTTCGCTCACATCTCAGCTGGCTCATTCATTATTTATTTGGGTTTTCTGCAGTCCACCATCACTGGGTTCCCCTCAGAGTCCAAGAACGCTCTGAACGTTCACAACAAACCGGCTGAACGTTTACGAGGCCTGAAGCCTCAGCTGTTGCAGGATGTTGCTCAGCTTCCCTTTACAGCGAAGGATGAGGCAGAAAATAAACCACAGATGATTAATAGGCTTCCTCTGAAAACACTTCGCTGAAGTCGCTGAACATCTCTTGACATGTGTCTGCTAAATTATTACGTTCGTTCACACGAGATGCACACAAAAGAAGCAGGGAAGCGAGTCCTGCGTGCATGTGTGTTCAGATCTAACGGGAGATGGATCCAGTTCTTACGAGGTAGATTTAATGGTCATATTACAACAGGCTTGTAAAAGTAATTTTTTTTCTCCCGCTCCTTATTTTGCCTGCTTCATCCTCTCAGAGAGATTTCACAGGGAGGTCAGAGGTCACAGGCTAGGGTTGGGTGTCAAGAACCGGTTCAGAGTTGGAACTGTCTTTGGGGAAGAAGAAAAAATTAGACTTCTACTGTTACTTATCACGGGGGCAAAGTACCTGTACTTATGGTACCGATGGCCGGTACAGTCCCTCAAAATTGGAGTCCCGGTACCTGAAAACTGAACTTAAAGAGTTAATAAATAGTAGATCAGAATCAGAATCTGATCCCCGAGGGGAATCAGATAAAATATAAAGGGGAATGGATATGTACAATATTTATACTATTAAAGACAGCTAGATGTACTTAAAGCAGCAAGGCTGTTTGTCATTTAACGTCACCTGTATTTATTATGAGGTTCCTGAACTCACTGCAGGAAGCTCGGTCACATGGCGGGTTCGCCAGTGAGTCCAGTGACCCTGACTATACTTTTGATCATTTTTTGGCAGCGACGACATAATTTGACATGAAGCCAGATGAAACTGGCTGTCGCACAGAAGACGAACTGTGTTTATTAGAGACAAAAAAACTTTTTTTGGATTCACCAAAAGGGTCCCTGATGGTCTAGTGGCTAGGATTTGGCGCTCTCACCGCCGTGGCCCGGGTTTGATTCCCGGTCAGGGAAACCTGAGCTGTTCTGACTGTAGACTCAGAGAGCTTTGGACGGGCTGATAATTGTTATATTTACAGTTGTGTAGTCCGTCCACATATGGTACCCTGATGCTCTTTGGTTTCCATTCACTGTGAGGGAATGTGGTTTTAGCACTGTGATGCTCTTGTGACTCTCCAAGAGTTTGACGCTACGATTCAGTACCTCACTCTAATCACCCCAGTCAACATGCAAAGCAGTAGGAAATGTGAAACAAGTCCATGTTTTTATGTGAATTAGACAGTTTGAATCACGTTCACCAATCGAGGTCCCAAACAGAGCCAGACATGAAGCCCATTCACTGCTTGGGAGGAGGTTAAGCTCAGTTTGGTTCCTCCAAGGACTTCAAGTAAGAAGTCAGCACTTGTGACATTAACCAGAATGAAGATTTCAGATTTGCGTAGTTGGCAGGATTCGAACCTGCGCGGGGAAACCCCAATGGATTTCGAGTCCATCGCCTTAACCGCTCGGCCACAACTACCTCATGTGACCCTCATGTGGTACCTGACTCAAATCTGCCCCCTGACGAGATGAAAAGGTGAGGATGGTGTATCTGGCACTTTAGCTGCTAAATGCTCCATTAGTTTTTCAGTGACACTAAACCAAAACAAGTGACCTGAAACTCAGATTCAGAGCCTCCGTGTAGTAGGATTTCTATTTCATGCCACTTTCTCCTTCTGCTCCATCTCAGAGGGAGATGTTGTCCTTTTTACTTCACTACATTTATCTGACAGCTTCAGTTACTTTACAAAGTCAGATTTTTTACACACGAAACACATGAAGAGTTTGACTTACAGAAAATTAATTGGAAACTATTTTGATCATTTCAGTCATTTTCCATGTGAAAACGCTTCATGGTTCACAAATATAAAGATTTGCTGCTTTTCATTTTAATTGTTTTAATAGCTGTGATGTTTGTTGAGCTTTGGACTGTTGGTTGGACAAAACAAAACATTATGAACGTGTCACTTTGGGCTCTGGGTAACTGTGACGGCATTTCTCGCTATTTTCATTCAGTGGATTGATGGAGGAAATAATCAGCAGGTTGATCCAGAATGAAAAGAATCATCAGCTGCAGTCTGATACTGAACAGCTCAACAACTACAGCAGTAACATCCTGCTTTACGTTAATGCATGAGGAATAACAATCTGAGGAGAGGAGATGAAAGAGTACAAGAGGCACATTATACTGCAATGAGTATCCAACAGGATATAAAGGAGAAAAAACATCTACAGCAGTAAAATACAACAGACACATCAATGCAGCAGAAATATCTGATATAAAAAGAAACTCTGACAAGAACATTTTACTGCAACATGAGCACTTTTACTTGCATACTTTTACTTGAAGTGAGGTTTTAAATGCAGGACTTGTAGTGGAGTATTTTCACAGTGCTGTATTGTTGTATATATATATATGGTGTGTTGCAGGAAGTGATGCATGCGCTGCGGCAGACATGGCACACCACCTGCTTCGTGTGCGCCGCCTGCGGCAAACCCTTTGGAAACAGCCTCTTCCACATGGAGGACGGAGAGCCGTACTGCGAGAAAGGTATGACGGTGTTCACGCTGTCGCCGAGGTCGAAGGTGTGAGAAGGAGCTCAAAGACGTATTTCAGATTGTCTCTCTCTCTCTGTGTCAGATTACATTTCACTCTTCAGCACCAAGTGTCACGGCTGCGACTTCCCAGTGGAAGCTGGCGATAAGTTCATCGAGGCTCTGGGTCACACCTGGCACGACACCTGCTTCGTCTGTGCGGTAAGAAACCATGCAAACAGTAAAACAGTCACGTCATGGAGGCGTCTGTCCAGGCAGATTTGGTTTTGTTTGTCCAGGAGTTTTCTGCCTCCTCTTCAACACAGTGGAGGTGAATGGAGTCGAGTTTGTGGCTTTAGAAATTATATTTAAATATTTCAAGAGCAACATCTTGTTCCAGAAACAGCAGCCGTGTTTCCATCTGATTGTCTAGTGAATTGTTATCTAACTTAGGAAACATCGCAAAAAAAGAAAAGGTGATTTAGGTGCGTTACGCCAGCTGGTCTGGAGCGAATTAACCAGGATATGCAAGGAGCAAGTTGCGAGTTGACGTTACGCATGGCTGTAATAAACACGAAGTAGAGGTTGCAAACTGGAAACAAAACCAGTCGCGTGGACCTGAGATGGAGAGAGGTCTGCAGGAAAGTGTTTCAACTGGGCAAGGTGTCATTCTTCTTTCATGTCCGCTAGTATTGGCCGTGGCGCCTGGTCCAGTTGTTTGGCCCCGGTGGATCGTGTTCCGCTGCTCTTTAATCCAAAAACCCGTCTTCATCTTCCAATGACTGGATTTACGTCAGAGGTAACGCATGTTTCGGCAATAAAGCTGGACAAAACAGATAAAAAACAAAAGTGTAGCGAAGTTTGAAGGAGCTGCTGCTTCTACAAACGATGCCATTTGCCAGAAAAAAACCACCTCAAGCGAGATTTTTTGTTTCATATTTTGACGTTTCCATCAACTTTTTCTAATGCGAAACTTTAAAATGCTCATAAAAAACATTGATGGCAACAAGACTAGTGTGGAAAAACCACATACAGCACTGAAGACAGTTTGTATTCAGAATTACTTTTTACTACTGTTACTAGTGATACTGGAATTTCTATCTTCGATACAATACCTTGAAAATATTGATATCCTATACCATTTTTTATACCACAGGGAAATGAAGTAAAGTTAATAGTACTTTATGTTAAGCAGAACTGTATCAGTTGATTTACTTCTGACCTTAGTCACAGTATTTTCAGCTGAAACCCTGCTTTCTGAAACCTCTGAGGGGGATTAGCTTAGTTTTGAGAAGGACAAATGTCTGTTGGGCAAACAAAAGGACAACTGGCTTATCAACAACAGTTGACTGGGCCTTCTTGTTTAAAACTGTTGTTGAAAGGGAAGACGTCTCCTACCTCTTAAAGGTTCTTTAGGGATACAACAAAGTACCTTTACCTTTTAAATAAAAATAAAAAATAAACTATTTTCCTGGACAGATTCCTCTAAATGAAGGTAGTGGGTTCTTTTCTTATTTGGGTGAGCAAACTCTCCTCGCTGACTTCACCTCTAGCCATTATAACCACCGTATTTGTTGCAACCGCAGGTTTGCCATGTGAACCTAGAGGGCCAGCCTTTCTACTCAAAGAAAGACAAACCTCTGTGCAAGAAGCACGCTCACGCCATCAACGTGTAGACTCGCCATCTGGAGGAGGAGGGGGATGGGGGCGGGGCCAACCAGCTGCAGTTCTGCCGCTCCTGTCGTCACCGGGGGAAACACTGCCGGGCGATGACGCCGAACGCAAGCCGAAGACAACAACTTTTACAGACGTGTGTAAACGCTCTTTATGCAAAATACACTTTGGTTTGATTTTGTGCATTAATATTAAAGGTTAAAATGACGGTGCCTGATGATTCTGCTTCATAACAGGAACATGTGCAAAAACCAAGTCAAGATGTTTTCTGTTGTCCATCCAGCCCACTTTCATTTGTACTGTAGTGTTTAGTTTTTATTGTGTTTTACCAGAAACTACTTGTGTGTTTGATGTGAAACGGAGGACTTTGTACGGAGTCTGGAGTGTGCCAAGTGAAATAACTGTAGACTTTTTTTAGTGTTAAATTCTAACAAACTAATAAATTGATAAATGTGAGAAAAAAAATATGAAACTAAACCGATAATGCAATAAAATATGCATCTTTAATAATAATTTCAACGTAATTTGGTGCGTGAAATTAGGTTGAAATTTGTCAAATGAATAAAAAAAAATATATATATATATATTTCCCCGTGACCCTGTATGCAGGATAAGCGGTTGATGGATGGGTGGATGGATGGATGGATAATTCTCTTTGAATGCTTAGCTTTAAATGAATTTAAAGTTTTTAATTTATTTTGCAATTTGTATTTTAATATTGAATTATTATTTACAAAGTAAGGAAATACATTTTTTGGATACTACATAGATTTATAATCTATCTTTATTTTCCTTTGAGTTTTAGAATGTATTAAATAAAATGTTTTAATCACTTTTCTACTTTTTTAAAAATGTTAATTTACAAAATTATTATAATTAAACACAGAAAATACTATATGTATTCCACTGGCACACTCGAGACGTGTGAACTGCACAGCTGTCTCCCGAATATTGTTCTCATCAGACTGTATCTTGGACTTGTCTCTGTAATGTGCCTATTTTGATTTGTTTAGGTATTTTCAATGCTACCTTAGTTATTTTTTCACTTTACTAAACTAAAAAAAATATGTTTTATTAATGTTGGTTAAGCACTACAATGTAACATATTTGACGTGTAGAATTCACAGACAATAGGTTTTTTTAAAGGTTAATTTCGTGCAGCAGATGGGACAGTAAAGCATCACTTTTACATTTAAAAAGACAAAAAAACGGTCTGGAGCCGGTCTGTGCTCTGTGTAACAGTGAACTGCCTTATCTGAACTATGTCTGACATGTGTTAGAAGTGTGTTTGGCAGTAAATGTAACATACGTGTGTTTGGAAACATGACCAGTGACTCTTTCCACTGGCCTCATTCCAGCAGGTGAACCATGTTTAGTCAAATATGAAAAACAAGTCAAGGTGCACAATGATACTGTGTAAGTACACGGTCAGACTAGAACATGATACAGCAGAATTCATTCACGCAGCATCATTAAATAGGTGGTTCTGTAAGCTTGGGGATACAGAGACTGGGGGAGGGGCCAAATGGGGGCCAAGGCCCCCGGAGTTCCCCTTACCAGAGTCAGAAGGTGAAAGGTAGTTGGCTAATTGGTAGTATCATGGATTGATTACACGGCTGCAGGCCCACACAAAATGATTACAAAGAGATGCAATACACAGTAATGCAAAATGACTACAAAGATTAAAAAAATAACTACAGTGATACAAAACGACTATAGAGAGATACAAATCCACTACATAGATACAAAGTGTCTACAGAGAGATACAAAACAACTAAAGAGATACAAAATGTCTAAAGAGAGATACAAAACAACTAAAGAGATACGAAACAACTAAGAGATACAAAGCGACTACAGAGATACAAAACGACTACGAGAGATACAAACAACTACAGAGATACAAAGCGACTACCGAGAGACACAAAACGACTACCGAGAGATACAAAGCGACTACCGAGAGACACAAAACGACTACCGAGAGATACAAAGCGACTACCGAGAGACACAAAACGACTACCGAGAGATACAAAACGACTACGAGAGACACAAACGACTACGAGAGATACAAAACGACTACCAAGAGATTCAAAACAGCGACTACTGAGAGTTACAAAACAGCGACTACAGATATACAAATCAACTACTGACATACAACTGGCTACAGAGAGAAACAACTAAAGAGATACAAAATGTCTAAAGAGAGATACAAAACAACTAAAGAGATACGAAACAACTAAAGAGATACAAAATGTCTAAAGAGAGATACAAAACAACTAAAGAGATACGAAACAACTAAAGAGATACAAAATGTCTAAAGAGAGATACAAAACAACTAAAGAGATACGAAACGACTAAAGAGATACAAAATGTCTACAGAGATATGCAAAACGACTACAGAGAGATACAAAACGACTACAGAGATACAAAATGTCTACAGAGATACAAAACAACCACAGATACACAAAATGTCTACAGAGAGATACAAAATGACTATAGAGAGATACAAAACGACTACAGGGATGTAAAACAACTACTGAGAGGTACTAAATGACTAAAGAGATACAAAAAAACAACAGATACAAAGCGACTACCGAGAGACACAAAACGACTACCGAGAGATACAAAACGACTACCAAGAGATTCAAAACAGCGACTACAGATATACAAAACAACTACTGACATACAACTGGCTACAGAGAGATACAAAAAACTAAAGAGATACAAAATGACAACAGAGATACAACACGACTAAAGACATACAAAACAACTACAGAGAAATACAAAACGCCTACAGAGAGATACAAAATTACTACAGAGAGATACAAAACAACTAAAGAGATAAAACACGACTAAAGACATACAAAACAACTACAGAGAGATACAAAACGACTACAGAGAGACACAAAACGACTACTGAGAGATACAAAACGACTAACGAGAGATACAAAACAACTACTGACATACAAAATGGCTACAGAGAGATACGAAAAAACTAAAGAGATACAAAACAACTACAGAGAGATACAAAACAACTACAGAGATACAAGACAACAACAGAGAGATACAAAACCGAGAGACACAAAATGACTACTGAGAGACACAAAACGACTACTGAGAGATAAAAAACAGCAACTACTGAGAGATACAAAACGACTAACGAGAGATACAAAACAACTACTGACATACAAAATGGCTACAGAGAGATACGAAAAAACTAAAGAGATACAAAACAACTACAGAGAGATACGAAAAAACTAAAGAGATACAAAACAACTACAGAGAGATACAAAACAACTACAGAGAGACACAAAACGACTACTGAGAGATACAAAACGACTACTGAGAGACACAAAACGACTACTGAGAGATACAAAACGACTACTGAGAGACACAAAACGACTACTGAGAGATAAAAAAACAACAACTACTGAGAGATACAAAACGACTACTGAGAGATAAAAAAACAACAACTACTGAGAGATACAAAACTGCGACTACAGAGATACAAAATGGCTACAGAGAGATACAAAAAAACTAAAGAGATACAAAACAACTACAGAGAGATACAAAACAATACAGAGAGACACAAAATGACTACTGAGAGATACAAACGACTACCGAGAGATACAAAAAACTAAAGAGATACAAAACCTCTACAGAGAGATACAAAATGACTACAGTTATACAAAACAACTACAGAGATACAAAATGTCTAAAGACAGATACAAAACAACTAAAGAGATACAAAACGTCTACAGAGATATACAAAATGACTACAGAGAGATACAAAACAACTAAAGAGATACAAAACGTCTACAGAGATACAAAATGACTACAGAGAGATACAAAACAACTAAAGAGATACAAAATGTCTACAGAGATATACAAAATGACTACAATTATATAAAACAACTAAAGAGATACAAAACGTCTACAGAGAGATACAAAATGACTACAGAGAGATACAAAACAACTAAAGAGATACAAAACGTCTACAGAGAGATACAAAATGTCTAAAGTCAGATACAAAACGTTTATAGAGAGATACAAAATGACTACAGAGAGATACAAAAAAACTACCACATTTTAGCATTTGTGTTTGATTCAAAAAGACGTGCTGTGTAAATCATGAGCAGTCTGGACGTATCTCCTGCTGTCACACAGTAATTCAGCGTATTTAGAGTTTTTTTCCAGGTGAACCTGCTCAGGTGAGGCTGCTGCAGAGTGCTGATGGTTTCTAAAGATGTAATATGGCGTGTAGCTACTAATCCTTTGATTTCACAGTACAGTAAGTGTTACTATGCAAAAGATAACCTTGAATTTAATATTTATTGACTATTTTGACTGTGTGATATTTATTTTAAAGCTAATATATCATCACTGCTGCGTTCAGTGCTCGTCAGATTATTACTTTAGTTTGTTTTGAGGATGTTTGGAATCACAAGATGTATTTTGAGTGTTGAAGTTGTAGGTTTTTTGTAATTACTCTGTTAATGTTTGTTGCTGTCCTGAACTGTAAGGGCTTGACTGTTTATTACAGTGATATTTTTCACTACAAGGCCACTTCATAGCTCCGTTCACACTGCAGGCCTTTAGTTTGTTTTAATGACTATTGCAGAATACTACGAAGTCCCTGGAGCCCCAAAGATGATGTTTTTTCTTTTCTTTTGTCTTGTACAAGCAAGATCAAATACAAATATCATCTTTTGGGACTTGGGGGCTCTATAAGGTACAACTTACATCCCTTAAAGATACAAGGCAACAGAAAAAATGTCCCTTTTTGGGGCCAATTAGTGCCACATAAATAAATGAGGCATCGTTTATCCGTTACTTTTATGAAAAATGTAATTATTTTAGGCTGAGACACAAAATGTACTTTTGTTTAAATGTAATTGATTTGTTGTCCACTTGTTTTCAACAGAAACAAGTAGTGAATACAACAATAATATATAATCATCTTTTAAGTTGAATTGAACGATAAACTTCATAGAAAAGTTCTGTGTTTGGTCTCCACCAGCTCCTGAGGGAAATATCTGGCTCTTTAGCTGCTAAATGCTCCACTATGTTCAATGGTAGCACAGGGAGAAGTCGGGTGGCGTGGCCTATTATAAATAGGCAGAAAGTCTGCATGATGGGTCATGTGAGACCAAGTAAATGTTGAGTTGTTTTGAGTTTTAACTTAAACAGCTTTACTGACTTCCGTCACGTCACTTACGTAATGTACTTATTTTTTTCCACACCACGACATTTTCCTAAACCTAACCAAGTAGTCTTGGTGCCTAAGCCTAACCAAACATTAACCACGTAGATTAAATGACTTACGTAATGTAGTTAAAGTTTCAGTGTGTAAGTTTTAGTGGCATCTAGTGGTGAGATTTGCAAATTGCAACCAACGACTCAGTCACAGTCATCTGTCATCAATAACACAGTGTAGCTACAGAGATTTATAAAGAAGACATCACGGCTGAACAACGTTAACCTCCAACCCTCCACTCAGACTTTACTGAGAAGAAGTGAATCCTCCTTCTGAGAGCTGAACTTTGTGTGGAAATAAATGATCGTATTTACAGAAAGAAATTTAAGTTACTTGTTTCTGATTCAATTCAATACAGGCAGGGTGTTTTAAGCAGCACCTAGTGGCCGTTAGAAGAACTGCAGCTCAACAAACTGCAACATAACGATCAATATCAGACCCTTTCTTTGTTCGCTGCAGGGACTTTGAACGATGCCCCGTTAAAGATTAAACAAATAAATGAAAACATCAGACTTGTAAACACATTCTGTGATCTGAAAGCTGATGTTTCACAGTGTGAGCAGAGCCTCAGATACCCTGAATAAATGCTTTGGTGTTTTCAGATGAACTTAAACGACTTTGAGACAAGTGTCTGTGGGGAAACTGTTAACGTTTCAGGCGTCTCCCTGCAGCTTATCGTGCCTTCGTGCCACTCTGTGATCTGTCTGTCTGACTGGCACACACACACACTGGGGATGATGTGTGTGCTGGTGTACAGTTTTTACTTTGGATATTTTATACAGTTTGTGTGTTTTTTCAGAGAGTGAATGTGCATGCAGAAACACAGTTTGTCACGGCATGAAAAAGAGAACATTAATACGAGCGACTGAACTGGTTTTGGTGTCAATGAGCTGGAAGTGAAACATTACTGAAGTGCGGCAGCAAGGACGGAAAGAAGCTGAACCAGATTAAGACTCTCCTGGTCGTTAGAGGCTCAGCTTCACTACAGTTGTTGAACAGGTTTTAAATATTTGAAGAATATTTGTGTTGCAAGTTGAATAAAGTGAGCATTTCAAACACGTTAAAACATTTGCTGTAAAAGGTTTCTTGTCTTTTAAAGATGCTGCTGTGTCCTGCTTTGGTTTCAAACTTGATCTATTAAACAGATATTTTACCTAAAGGAATCTCTGATCTAAGAGGATTTAGGGTCAGCATGTGACAAACAAATACGTATTTCGGGATGTTTATAATGTGATTTAAGCCAGAAATCTGAGCTAAAAGGAGGAGTTTGCAGGAAAACATGTCTTAATACTGAATTAAAAGGTCTACAACACAGTATTTGGGAGGGGAATCTTACATTTTGAGAATAAACTCGAAATATTTAGAGAAACAAGTCATTACAAGCAAAATGGTTATATTATTTCTTGAACAAAGTCAAACTTAACAGGCAAGTTTGTATAAGGCACAGACAGGTTTTACCTGCCATAAACTACTATTGAAAGTTGTAACTGTGCAGTATATTATCTATCTATCAGATAGATAGATGGATAGATAGATAGATGGATAGATGCACAGTCAGTCAGAAATGCACATGTAATCCAGTCTAGCCAAACTAATCACATCATACCAAACTTTATTTCTTAACTCTCAGATTGTTCCCCATCACATCAGCTCTAATACTAAAGGTTTATTATTTTACATTTTACATCTGTCACTCTTAGCTGTATATATAGCGAGTTTCCAAGGCTTCATTTCCTTCCACTGCTGCAGAATAACTTGAAGTTGCTGAAAATTGTAGATCTCTG